GGAAACGGAACGACTACTACTAGTACCTACTACCTACTACTAACCTAACTAACTATAGTATTATTTATTATTATATATATATATATATATATATATATATACACGCACACACACCACACACACACACACACACACACACACACACACATATATATATATATATATATATATAACATATATATATATGTATATATATATATAGGAATTACTTTATATATGTATATATATATATATATGAAAATTACTGTCCCCTAACAGTTTAAGTAGTGGGTATGCTCTATCGAGTCTATCCAGCAAGCTGTCCATGTATGTCGGGCGTCGGCGAGTACATCAATATTAGGTCAAGATATCATTTCAAACATGCCTGGTTTTATTGGATATGCACATCTCTCCTAAATAGCCACAACTTTTAATAAAGTAAACACTTTGAATAAAACATGTGCTAAAAGACTCGTCCCGCCCTCACAGTTACCTCAGCCACCAACGAAGAAAACAGCGCACACAGCTGCCAGTACAATGGTTCTGGCGACACTTGTTATCTGTCAGCTAAGAAACATGTGCATGGAGGAAAGCAAGGCTGTGCAAGCCCTACAGCGTACAGAAGTATGAAGGACATCGGCAACGCATGCGCTGTAGCTATAGGCGAGGTGGTGGAGTGAGATTGGAGGTTGAGATATAGGCTTGATGGTGGTACAAGGCGCTATGAACAGTCTACTACAGCAGTGAAAAGGGTGTGACAGATAGACGGCTCACAACCAGGTTTATCCATGGAAGTAGGAAGTACGCAAACTAATGTAAATAAACTCTTCCCTACTAAATTAAAAGCAATAAAAACAGAATACATACCATGAACAATATTCAAACAGTATATGCATATGACTATCTGTGTTCTGAAGTTGGGTACTTATACGACCGCCGTCTGTGTTCCGTAATAGTGTCTGTATTTATATGTGCGACTATAGCGGGCATAGCATAGCCTTCAAAAAAAGACAGCGTAGACTCTTTGAGTATTTAAGTGAGAGCGCTATATGTGACCTATGAAGTACGAGGCTACGTCTGTGCGAGAGTCTAATTATTAGATTGCCAACGCAACAAATAGATAACAATTTAAAAAAGAAAATGACTAGATTTTTCTATTTATAGAACTACGGTATAACTCTAGATGTTAAAAGTTAAAACCCTAAGTTTTCTATTATCTGCTGACCTCTATTGTGGCCTATCAGATGCCGAGTCCACCGTTTGTGGCTATTTATATTTATATATATAAATAACGACAGTAGGGGAACACTTCTCAGTATACATATACTCATTAGGTATACATACTATCTAGCGTAGCCATCTACACACGTAAGGTATAGTGTTGGAAGGCCTATGTCTATACCCCTACTATAGCGACACTACACAAATAAGGTATAGTATTCAAGGGTTTATGTGTATACTCAGACATAGCGGAGCTACAAACGTACAGTAAAATATATAGTACGTGTATGCCCCTAACACAGCATCGGAGTAGTTATAAACATATATAGTATAGCTCAATTAGTAAGTCTTCGACTCGCACGCACGCGTGGTTGAATAGTGGTCACTACAGTAGCGTATCATACACCTGGCCTAAACTTCTCTCTGCGATTTGCTTTCCCCAAATCGAGAGTACAAGTATGTAAGATCGACTCCATACTCTCCTTTACACACCCTTAACACGAGCAGAACCTTCACACACATTACTACTACAGTCAGACTATACGCACAAACCACCTACAGGTGCTGTCTAATTCTTCACTCGCACAAGGCAGAAGTTATCTACAAAAAAACACCTATTAAGGCGAGATGAGTGTGGTGGTCTGTGATACACTTCACACTCTGAGTGCACACCTCAGAGGCCCCAGTCGGATACTCTCCCAGTACGCAGCGGTGCAATGTAGGCGTATAGTAGGTAGTCATATGCACATACCGAGACAGACAGGGTCGTATGTATATGCACAAGGCCGGTTATTTTCCACAGCACACACACACACACACACACACACACGTACACGTTGGCACCATGGGTTCACACCCACACCAGTGTATGTACCTGTGCGAGTTGGTGGTGTGTCAATTAGGCGATGGTGTGCGTCGGCAGCGGAAAAGGCCGCCACACCTCACAACCCTATACACCGCAACACAGATACACTCAGGCACAGTGTGAGTACAGGAGGTGGCAGTATCAGCCCACCGGGCAACGCCGTCAATAGTGCGCATATAAGGACGCCCAAAGACTTCATGCGTGCGAGTGAGCAGTCGCGTAGCAGGGCCCAAGGACAAGCGCGTGCGAAGGAACACGCACAAACACACACACACACGCATGCAAAGGCACACGAAAGGCACACGAAAGTCGATGCCGCATCGGGTCCAACGGGCCATGCACACGCAAGTAAGTCAAGCACAGAGTCGGTTGCTAGTGCAAAGAAGCCTGCGGGTGGTGCGGATGTAGGTAGCGGTGTAGGTAGTGGTGTAGGTAGCGGTGTAGGTAGTTCTGTGGTTGCGCCTGTGCCTAAACTGACGATATGGCAGAAGGTTAAGCACGAGATAGAACACTACTACACTGGGTTCAAGCTCTTCTTCATCGATGTCAGAATCTGTGCAAGGTATGGTATACGTGTAGTGTATGTAGTTGCCTACAGGTAGGTAGTTAGTCAGTTAGTGTGATATAACGTTTGTAGTAAGATACTGCGAGTATGATATAGTATACGGTTGAATAGATGGTGAACACGCATGTGTTACGGTACCACTGTTGTCTCCAGGACCCAGTGGTGAGATCAGGTATGCCCATTGTACACATCCGTGTGTGAGGGGTTGGTTGAGATCCTCCATATGTATGTGCTTAAATCTATACCAGATTGCAATAGTCAAGTAGTATCTGTACGTCGACGTATCTGTGCGTGTACATGAGGTACAACATTGACCTACAGGTCTCTTGGCTAGCTTATCCTGCACGACATACGTGTTGTCACTGTAGTTCGATGGATAGGCATATGGCTGTACTATGCGCGTATGCTAGATCCCGGCCATACCTGGCAGGTATACTATCGGGGTTCGCTACTATATATATGTTCTATGTTGTATGTTTTGTAACTATATACTATATTATATGTTTTTTGACTCTACACTACGTTGTATGATTTAAAACTATTTACTATATTATGCGTATTTTCCCTATACAATGATATATGATTTAAGACTATATATGTACCATGTATGTAATTAGTTTCGTATGCCAGCTCAAGTGCGAATAGTAGACTTTGGATCACGGTCTCTCTTATTGCACACCTCTGCCTATGTGTTGCGTCTCCGTGTACATACACGTGGCATAGCTCAGCGGGTTCAGGCCTTTCTTGACTGTAGTTTGAGTATGTCCGTATGTGTTATAGTCGCACTGGTTGGATGCTGCTCGCCTGTGTTTGCGCTTGATCAAGCATGTATGTACAGTATCATCTCTACAGCTGAGTGAGGGATATTCACTTGTGTCATGTAGAACCATACATGGTGGGTACGAGTGTAAGTCCATCAGTCTTTGTATGAAGTCTCCTTGTGCAGGTGTTGACTACTCTCAATCCTCACATATACGTATATGTCTATAAATAGACATTGATCAGTTATTTACATCTGTTTATTTCGAAACATGTATCCCCTGTCAATTGAATCGCTTATACCTCTCGCATACTACATATACACATACCTGTACATAGTCAAATATCAGTGAAGCTTACATCGGTCATTACATTGCAAATACCTCAAGACTCTAGCCACCTTCCACCCCCACGCACACGTACAGCCATACATAACCACACATCATATTGGATGCTCATCTTCACACTTTTTCACTCTATCCCAGATATCTCAATCAGTCCTTTCAAGGCGAGACTCTCACTCGCCGCCAACGCCGCCAGCTAGTGCGTACTACGGGAGATATCTTCCGTCTGGTGCCGTTCAGCGTGTTTATTATCATCCCGTTCATGGAGTTTCTGTTGCCCGTGGCTCTGAAGCTGTTCCCAGGCATGCTGCCCAGTACCTTTGGTACCAAGGGGACCAGAAACGAGGCCAATCTGAAACAGCTCAAAGTCAAGCTGGAGATGGCCAAGTTCTTGCAGGTGGGTGGTGTTTCTATGTGTTGTATGTGGTGTTTACGGGGGGATATTGTGGGCGTGGGGTTGGCTGAGTTAGCGGCGGCTGGAGATTAAGCTAGAGATGTCCAAGTCCTTGCACATGAGCGGAGCTGTTCGTGCCATGGTTGGCTTAGTGCATCTCGTGGGTGTCTCTTATTCTCAAGTGATACATTGTCTCTTATTCTCAAGTGATACATTGTCTCTTATTCTCAAGTGATACTTTGTCTCTTATTCTCAAGTGATACATTGTCTCTTATCCTCAAGTGATAAATTGTCTCTTATTCTCAAGTGATATATTGTCTCTTATTCTCAAGTGATACATTGTCTCTTTTTCTCAAGTGATATTATTCTCAAGTGATATATTGTCATTTATCCTCAAGTGATATAGCGTGATGTAGCTGCGTAGTGGCGCGTTCGCTCACAAGATGCATCCACAGCCTGCAATCGCCCCTTATAGGCATACCTTTGGGTCTAGTGTGCTGGTATTGGCAACAGGAATGGCTGCCACAGAGTGTAGTACCAGTATCAATCCACCACTCTCATTAACCGGACTTGATGGCTCGAGTGGCGGTATCATCCACAATTACTTCCTGTTAGAGAGTGACACTAGTGGCCTGGTGCAGTACTTCGGGGTTTACTTTTACAGAATCTGTATAGATTGTATATGTTTGCACCTGTGCCGTTTGCCTCTGATCTGAGGGTGCAGGAAATGCAAATCTTCGTTTCTCGAGTATAACCCGATTTTGATTTTTAAAATCAGGACACGGTGGAAGATTTGGCTAAGAAATCATCGTGCGAGAAACAGGACGACGGAAGCGTTTCGAATTTGGCTGACCTCATGGCTCGAATGCGCGATCCAGACAACGATGACAACGTAAGGAAACGCGATGCATATATTCGTATATATACACACACACACACACGCACACACACACTCACTCACTCACTCACTCACACTCACACACACACTCACACACACACTCACACACACACTCACACGCACACTCACGTATA